TCATACCCAGTTTTAAAGGTGGTTGACAGTATTGAGAAACCACTAAAGTTATACTGCGATAGCAAACCCACAGTAATGTTCTCTCACAACAATCAGCCAAGTGGTGCTGCCAAACACATTGACATAAAGTACTATGTTGTGAAAGACAAAGTCTGGGATCAAACAATCAGTCTCGAGCACATAAGAACAGAAAGGATGCTCGCGGATCCGCTCATGAAAGGCCTACCTCCCAACATGTTCAAGGAACATGTAGCATGCATGGGTTTAAGGGAAGCCTTATGAATCCTGGACTATAGGGCCCAAAAGTTAAAGTATCTATTTCTGAATAGAGATGTGTATAGTGGCTGTCGAATCCAGCGGTAATTAACTGTGATGATGAAACATGCTGTATATGTAAATCTGTGATGGAATAGAAAAAGCTAAAAGAAATAGTGAGATCAAGGGGGAGAATGTTAGATAGATCTCCCTCCCCTTGAGCCCAACGGCTCAAGGGGGCCTTGACCCGCGCCTTGATCGGGGGCGCCCAGCCCAATGGCTGGTGGGCCCCCGTCACACTGTGCCATATAAAGAGGGGTGGAGGACGGGACGGCACAAGAAACAAGGTTCATCGCCACCACCACTCCACCCCACAAACCCTAATCCGATCGAGAGGGGGCGCAGCCAGTGACGGGAACGCGCCACCGCCGCCCCACGCCTTATCGTCGACCACGACTCCCACTACTACAACCACCGTCGCCGTCAAGCACATCGTCGCCGCCATCCTCGACAAGCAGAGCAACGTCAACGGCGATGGCCGGGACTTCCTCCTCATCCAACGCGTCAACCAGTCACATCCCTAAACCCTTTTCCCTTAATCTCTATTGTTGTTCAACCATCCATCGAAAATAGAACCACCCAACTAGATCTAAACCTAGGTGATCCAATAGAGAACCCTATCAATGAGTCCATGCACCTCGCCGGAGAGAGGTCTAGGGAGGGCGGCGAGGTTGATCTCCGCCTGCACGGTGATGGGTGGACGGTGATGCAGCGACGAAGGGGAAGAGCGGGGAAGTGGCCAACGGCGACCCCACGCTCTCCGGCCTCTGATGTCGGCAGCGCAAGCACGCGAGGAGGCAGGACAAAGGGTAGGGCGAGCGGTGAAGAGGGAGAAAATGGCAGCGGTACGGTGGAGGCCGTCGACGGCGGCGAGAGACGTAGTGGAGGTCTCGTTGGGAGCAGTCGGGGTGGAGAAAAGCTTTGTTCTTTTTCCCTTTTTGTTAACCGACGCTAATTTTACGCGAAGTGGAGCGGGAGGACACGGATCGCTAATTGCTGGGGTGATCCAACTTTTGATATAAGCCATTGGATGAATAGATCTAAGGGTTAGGAAAGACAGGTGTTTGATGAACTTGTACTTTTTATATTAGTCTAGATGACCAAGAAGATATTAAATCATCTTGCATGTTACAAAATCAATGAGTGAATACAAGCATGCAACCAATGAGTATTTAGATGACTCCTTAGATTCTAATCAAACATTTAATTTATCTCTTCATTTAAGTCTTGGATGCATAAAAACTACAAATAGGAACAACTTATTTGGAAAAACTCAAATGTGAAATATGTTTAACTTTTGTGGATGGAGGAAGTAGTGGTTTTTTTTATCCTCCACCATTTCTTTCGGATCTAGCATTGAGAGGGAGAGCCGACAGTAGGGAAACTGTTTTTGATCCCTTGAAAGAATGTCCCTTTGTTTTTTAAAAATCATCCAAATAGTTATGAAAACTTCTCAAAAAGTTTGACAGCATTTATACAACAAACATATTCCAGTCCACAAAATCGTAGGTCTAAACTCAACTCACACATTAAGATATAAAAAAGACAAATTTAAGGTATTAATAGTGGTGATGCTATCAATACCTGATTTTGTTTTCTTTTTCTCAATGTGTAGGCCAAATTTAAACTTAGATTTTTGGTGAAGTGATAGGTGTCACTGTACTCTACACATTGTTAATTTCTTTCAGTTTTTGGAACAACTTTTTTTTATTAAATTTGGTAGAAAAATGTACATGAGGGTAAATCCCATCGAGGATAAGAATTCGTTTCCTAGCGGTAGCCCCCATTTTCATCTAACGAGGCCATTTTGGTTGACCTAAAGACAGAATGCGTTACCAGGATTGGATGCCGTGAAGAGGAAGGGGTTGCCTTGCATTCATTCTCGTTGACAACCCTACCCCCTCCCCCCTTCCCTCATCATAAATATTATTTGATGTTTACAAATTTGGTTAATACTTTTAAAACTTTCGGCATCAATAATTTCTCAAATGCTTAGCTTACGCTAATTGCATTTGAGCCAGATTTTATACCTGTGCTCAAGGTTACATTTCTGTTGGAACCCGGTCCGAGTTTCATGAATTCCAAACACCGATGTGGATATATTTGGTTCCATCAAAAAATCTGAATGATTTTATCAAACTCAAATTTTAATTAAGGAAAAAAAATCATAACAAATATAACCTCCATCAACATTTCAACTATATAAAGTACATCACGCACGTACTCTATATATAAAAGTCTTGACCATGCATGCTTGTAGTTGCAACACCAGAATTTAAATACTAGTGGGTGAAATCCACAAGGCCACAATTTTAGTTCTCACTCTAAGAGGATGTGCAATTGTGCATATTTACTTATTTAGTTGCCAAGAATGTTTTTTTAGATAATGAGTTGCCAAGAATGTTAGAGGGAGAGAAAGAACTAGGACGGGTCAGATGCTAAAGCTAAAATGCTTAGCATCCAATCATCCATGCCAAGTTTAGCATCTGATGGTGAGCAATCTGTTTTGTTTTTATTGTAGTCGACGCTATCATATGAAGCGAAATTGTGATCATTAGCACCTAGGATAAGTGCTAAGAAATGGATTAAAAAATACTGGTCCCTCCTTGTTTTAATATACGATGATTAGAAAAGATTTCGTCAAAATGAACCATCAGTTTTTTCTCATATGCTTAATTTTAAAACAATATAAATGGCATGTGTAGATTCATCTTAAAAATATCATCTTGCTACCGTAAACTATTAGATTTTATAAACTTGTTTTAATAGATAATTGATTGTCCAAATTTTAAAAGTTCGGCCAAAATATTATCATAAATATCATGAACTAAAATAAGAATGGAGTACCATAGTTCATTAGCAGAGAGTGTAGAGTATATCCTCCTTTAGTAAAACCCCTTGCCACTATGTTCTTTTTTTCATTTTTCGCAATTGTTTTTGGCTCCTCGGAGAAATTGTCACGTGGCCGGCTGCTTTGAAAAGAAACTCGTATATGTATGTATCTCGCATAGGCCCTCGCATCGTTTGATATCCCTATGTGTTTTTTTCTTAAAAAAAGATAACCTCGTCTACACAAGATACAACATGAAGATAGAAAAAAAATATGCTTCTAAAGGTATCGCTCTAGACATTATAATTTGGGTTAATTGGATCCATGCCATTATAAATTTTCTAGTTTTGAAATATGCCACTGTTATTCATCAATTCATAACTATACCAGATATCGGAAATATGCCGCTATACACCCTTTCAATGCATTTATCAAAATTTTGAGACTAAATTGCCCTCATCTTCTTCCTTTCTTCCCTCAGCTTTCTTCTGTTCATCTTCTTCCTCTTTCCTCCCCTTCTAAATCCGTCGTCATGCCCACGCTTCCCAGCATTGTTGAGCTACACAACATGGTCTTTCTTGAGACTCCCAATTTCCCACGACGGCTGGGATGACAACAACCTGTATGGCGCGGTGGCCGTGGATGATTCGAGCAGCAGCCACTCCGTCCTCCTGCACTTCATCTCAACCCCACGCGCGTACCCCGGCTACTGCAGCGCCTGGCCCCGCGTGACAACCGCGACCCCGTTCCCTCTCCGTGGAGGCCATCTTCGCGCGTGCAGTCCTTCAAGTGCCTCCCCGGCCGTTGCCGTCGCTGCGGCCTCCGCTTCCCTTAGTTGTCACCTCAAGAGACCTCTTGCTGCTGTGGTCGAGCTCGAGTCGAGCTGTGGTACTGGTCCGACCATCTCCACCTCATTGGGATTCGAGGTTCATCGTGGCTGAGATTCACTGAAAAATGGGAGAGAGGAGATGGGAAGACCCAGATCTAGGAGTTGGAAGAAAGAGAGAAGATGAACAAAAGAGAGCTGAGAGGAGAAAGGAAGAAGATGGGGGCAATTTGGTCTCAAAATTTTGATATATGCCTTGAAAGGGTGCTTCATGGTATATTTCCAATACTTGAAAAGTTGTAATAGCATTACTACGAATTGATAAATAGTAATGGCATATTTCAAAACTAAGAATTTATAATGGCATGAATCTAATTAACCCTAATAATTTTCGGGTGCTTTCACAAAATATCCTTCCACCTCCGAACATCCCCTTGTCCCCATTCCCCTTTGCTCTTCTCACACGGGCGCCGGCCCGGCCATTCGCACCTCATGCCAGCTTTAATGCCATCACCCTCCTTCCCTCTCATACCTATTGCGCCGCCACCGCTCATCCTCCACCGCACCCCCATCTTCCCGAGCTAGCACCAAAAGGCGGTTGCATGGTCAGGAGTATAATATAAGAGAGGGGTGAATAAGTAGGAACATAAAATGCATGAAGTTTGTAGTATATGATATATCAAGGCCAATCTACCGATAGTATGTTTTAAACTAAGTACTTCAGAAGTGAAAACGAGGTGGGTGTATTTACGATTTTATGAAGTTACTCCCTAATTGGTAGTCAAAGTTCAAAAGTTTGAAAAACTATTGGTCAAATATTTACGACAAGATGGAGTATATGGCAAAAAATCATCCAGCCACTGATATTATCTCACTGTCTCAGTTTGAAAAATAGTAGTATCTCACTGTTCTTACCATACCATGTATACAGAGTGACATTGGGCAAGAAAATTAAGGAGCGATACAAGACATTCAATCCGACCACCTCCTGAGCATAAGATCCTCCATAATCATGCCAGCAACCAGACATAGAAAATATAAATGCTATTTGTTACGCATTTCATCATAAAACCGATCAGGCCACCGAATTGGCCGGTTACATTCCCTCATCAAATGTTAGCAAACATAAAAATTCTAAGCGCTAGGTTTGTTACAATAGCTACATCAATCGGTTTACAAAACACACACCACACAAACACAAAACACAAACTCATTTCTTCTCGGCAACGAGCCATAAATAATACATATGGCTGCGATTTGGGGGCAGCTCTACAGGGCCCCGGTGAGTTGTGAGAAGAACTAAAACAACAGCTTTTTGCTAAAAAAGAACACACACTGGTTTGATGATGGGTGTTGTGGTTAGATAAGAAGAACACCTCATCTCATCTTTGTCGTCACTTCCTCATGATTCTCTCTCACCTAGAGTTAGCCTCTGGTTTGTGGCTGCCACCTACATAGTTCCCGTTGCTGTTATTATTAGTGTTCTTGTGAAGCTGGCCCTCGTCGTCATGGTGTTGCGTCTTCGATGAGTCGATGCTCATACCCAGAGTGGTTGTCACAGTTGGTCCCTTGTATTGAGCCTTATCACCCTTCATAAAGTTTAAAATTATCCATAAGAATTGGGTAATGTGGAAAGAAGTAGCATTTCCTGTCTCAACTAATGGCAAAGTATGGGTGGAGTGCCATGTGCTCACCATCAGTCGTGTATTCTCTGCTTCCATATCCTCACAGGCCTTCTTAAGCTGATCAAGCTCTGACCGAAGGGCACTGTTCTCAGTTGTCAGTTCAGCAACCTTCCGAGCTAGTTCCTCACACTCTTGCTGATAAACAGTGGTAGATTGAAATGTGTCAGACGTGAAACAAATGTTCTAACATTAAAATCTCCTGTTGAAAATACCGAATAAAAAAGCTAGGGAGCTCAAGAGCCAAGTAGCTGACAAGATGGACAGGTCAATTTGTTTACAAAACCAGATGTTGTAAACTCAAGTCATAGACATTGTAATTTTAGCATCTACATTTTTTCTTGCATCTTCTATACATTTCAGGTAGCCATCCGTTGGTTAGATCCACACCCCATCAGAAAAAAAATGGAAAGTAAGGAAACCACGAAATAAACTTTTCATGCCGCCTAATGGAACTTGAGATATATGCTCACATGGTTGGCTAAAAAATAAATGTCAACTAGCTGGTGTGGTTGCCAGAAGAAAAATTTTTGTTCTGATGATATTTGATTTTTGACAAGAAAACTAACAAATGCCATCTCACAACTACAGATAGGCATTTGGTACCTTCGATTTTTATAAGATGGCCAGAGGCAAAGCATCAACCACCAGCTGGCCATGTTTACGAAATAAAGGATATGTTTCAGCGTGGCCATTTCAATTGGACATCAGCACTGGCAACAAATTCATTGTAGGCAAGGAAAATTTGGTTCTATAGCAAACAGTTTTCTGTACTAGAGGTCCATTATTCTCCGGTTCCAATACTATTACTTGGTGTTTGCATGCTCAGTTTGGTAAAAGGGTTTGTGTCAGTTATTTCACATCAGCTCCTAAGTCCTAACGGACCATATTGGAAAAGGAAAGTACCAATCATATGTTATAGATGTTGCATTTTTATTTGGGACCTAAGACTTTTAAGTACAAGATCCGTTAAGGCCTGGGAGCATGCTGTTTGTCAGTTTCTTGGAGCATGGCTTGTTGTGCATATTGCCCGTGTGCAGACAAGCCAACATCTGGTGAAGTGCTGACATCATACCAAATGCCTCTCCCGGCATCTAGCATGCACTCTATTCCTCCTGCCAGAAATATGGCAGCACCAAGCAGAATAAGTGTTTCTTTCCAGGTCTGCCATCTACTGCCAGACCCATAGAGGTATCCAACCTACTGAAATTAGATGTATTAGATCTCTTCTTTGACAGTGATCTTAAACAATGAATATATCCCATGTCTTTCTGATCTTCCTTGCGACTTTTTATGCATTCTTTTAAGTGAATGTTGAACCAAATGTTTTTTTTTCTTTTGCGTCATGCAGCTTACTGAATTCAGAAGGCAGTACGTCGAAACTGGTTCTAGAAAATACTGAGCATAATGAAACGATACAAAACCTAATAAGCCATATGTCCGTATCATGTGAGGAGTCATGTGGCAAATTCTAAATGTTACTGAAATCAATACTACTGACTCACGTATAAATGAGAAAAATGAAACAGCAGTTATTGTTTCTAGTATCAGTTTATCATACTTCAGTATGTTGCTCTACGTATGGTGATGTGTAATTTGCAAAACCAATAAAAACAAACATGGTAGGGTCTTTGATAAAACCGATGGACTTTAGTAGCATCGCTTCAAACAAACAACTCCAGCTAGGTACCGCATTACTAAGTTAGTTTTGTTTTAACTATGTTAACATCAACTAACCAAAGATGCTTCATTTGAAATATCGTTTAGTAACCGATGTGATACCAATAGGAAAGTAACATGTGCACATCAATTTCTGCCTAAATTGGCTCATAACTGCCATATGATTTGTGTTGTCCACTTGTCTTGTTTTGTAGGGTCATCAAAGCAGATCTTACCAGGTTCACTAGTACTACAATAATGCGAGCAGAATCACCAAATTAAAACCAGGCATGGTTTATTTCTCAATGTGACATTTCGCAGGAAATAAGAATGTAATGTTCCAGAAATACCTGCTTGCGCAACCTTGATCTCCTGGCAGACTCTCTGTTAGATTGTTTGCGCCTCTCCCTCTTCAATTCACGCTCATCCTGAAAAGGTAAGAATATACCAAAAGGTGGATTTAGACGAATAACGATATAGCCATAAATATGATAATTATGTGTAAGAAGACAAAAGCTCATGTCATCAGTCATTCATGAGACATTCCACATAGGCTAAGACACACTGTAAAAAATCTCTCTCATGACGCCATACATACCAGGTGAGCAACACCATCACGTCGAGCAAGTGCCAACCCAGGACTTGCTTCCCCCTGCCCTGCGGGCACAGCTAAGGCTGGGGGAGTACTCCAAAGATCTATCCCTATGTTCAAATTAGGTGTGGCATTAGGAAGTGCCGCCCGCCCTGGTGCAGAAACTGGAAGCTTCGACGCAGACCTCCCCTTCAACGGATACGGTGACTCGACAGCAGCATAGGGCACAAGCGTAGCTTGAGACGGCTCACCTGGCAAACACCAGTCTCTAATCATCCACACATTCCCCTCAAAAATAAAAACAACTCAGTCCAAAAAAACACATAGTTAAGCATTCCAACAACCCACCTTCTGCCGATGTATTACCAGATTTCCTTTTCTTAGGTGCAGACGAATCCTGAAGAAATCAAATTTCAACCACACAAGGCCATCAGCATAGTTATTACAGTAAAGCAAAGCCAAATTTTAAACGGCCCTTCGCGTCAAACCAGGTTGCTTTGGTACCTTGTGGTCAGTGTCATCATCTCTAGTATCAGACGACTCCTCGCTGCCACTGTCACCACTGCGCACGCAACAAAACTCAAAACTTAAATTCAAACATAAAAGAGAAAAAAAGGAGACCAAAAATACACTCGATGAAGTGCAGGGACACGAAACTGTACCTCCGGGATGCATCATCCCCAGAGGGCGCCGCGGAGCTTCCCTTCTCAGGCGACGCGGCGGCGCCCTTCCCCTTCCCCTTCCCTTCCGGCACCGCCCCCGCCGCCGCCGCCGCCGCCGCCGCCATGGCTTCAGCTGTCGGGTAAGGAACACCCTACGCAGGAGCAACGATTTCAGACCCAAATCCAAGCCCAATTGGCAATCAAAACGAGCAGAGGCGAGAGGGTCTCACCGCGGCCATGGACGCGTGCGCGTAGTACGCCGCGGCGGCGCCCGGGTGGTACATCGGGAACGGCACCGGCGCGCCGTACGGCGCCCCCGCAGCCGCCGCCGCCATCAGATGCTGCATCCGAGAGAAGCAAAACCAAACCCTAGTCAGAACCCGAAAACCAACCACCAAACCTTCCCCCCCCCCCCACCCCAACCCGGAATTCCGCGGAATCCTACCTGCGCGGGCCACGCGTAGGGGTGCCCCGCGGCGGCGTAGTACGCCTGCAGCGAAGCCGCCCACTCGGCGTGCGTCGGCACCGCCGCGGCGGCGGTGGCCACGGCCGTCCCCGCCACCGCCGCCGCCGCGGGCGGCTCCGGCGGCTTCGGCTGCTCGTCCGACGAGGACGCCATGGGCGAGATCTGCAGATCCCCGCGAGCTAGCTCCAAGCAACGGTGGTCGCGCGCTGCGCGTTCGCCGGCGGTGAGGCTACCGGGGCGGTGCGACGAAGCAGCAGCAGCAGCAGCAGCAAAAAAAGCGAAGCAGCGAAAAAAAAAAAAAAAAAGGAGGCCCTAGGGTTTGGTGAATCGGTGACCCCCCTCCTCCCCCTCGTGTACACACCGCCGTGTACGCCTAACGGTTCACACTCCCACGTGGCGCCCTTCCATTGGTCCGTCGCGCATGTAGGGTGACACGTGGACGGCGCGGTTGCTGTGGGGCCCACGTGTCGGTCTGATGGGTCCAAGTAGTAGTAGTACACTAGTACGCTGTTCGGTGCGGGTACAGGTGTTGCCCGGTGGGTGGGGTGGGGTGGTGGGGCCCATAGGTCAGTGGGTGTGGGTGGAGATGCGGTGGGTGCGGACGTGGCGTGGGCGCTGAGTCGGACGCGCGGCGGGATCCGTGCGTAGTGCGGGGCGTGGGCCCCGCGGTACTGTACAGCGAGGCGGCGGATGGGCTTTTTATTTGGGCCGGGATGAGTGGGCCGAGGGGACTGTAGGGGGATGAGCATGCGTGGTGCGTCGCTGTCGTGACGTCATCGCGCACTTTCGCTGTCGGTTTTTTTTATCCTGCCCGCGTGATGACGTGGGGGCGTGGGACCCGTGAACAGGAGCAGCTCACGTTGAACTTCTCTCTTTTCTTTAGAAGCTCACGTTGAACTCTAGTCATTGAGGATGTGTTTGGATGGTGGGTTTTGCTTGGATAGGAGATGGCCGCCAGATTTTTTTAGGTGTTTGGTTGCTGGGCTAGTATGGGATATAGCCACCCCCTAAGGAATATTCGCAGTAAATACCGGACAGATGCATCCAGCCGAATGGGGCGGACGGGGCGATCCAGGGACGGGCGAGCGCACGTGAAAGAAAAAAGTGGCATTCGCTCCTCCTTCCCCCTCGTTTTCTCTTCCTCTCCTCTTCTTTTCTTTCTTTCTCACCGGTCTGAGTCTCTGGAGCTCTCAAGTCTGAACCCTAGCTTTTCTCCCTTCATTTCCCCTTCGTCTCCCCTGGTGGCGCAGCCGGAGGCACCAACGGTCTCAAGCACCGGCACGAAGGGCTGCGTGGGAGGAGGCGCAGGGTCGTGGGAGGAGGCGCAGGGGAGCGGCAGACACACAGGTGGAGGCGGTGGGCGGCGTTCAGCGGCGGCTTGCAGTGGCGGCGGCGGTAGGCGGTGTCCGGCAGTTCAGGAGCGGCAAATGGTATTTGATGTTCTTCTTGATGGTCAACCAAGCAATGCACAGAGACACAACAGCAAAACTCATTGGTTTGTGGATTTAGATTCAGATTCGTCAGTTCAGTTTGTTGAAACACAAGTATAGCTGTGCTGCCTGTGTAGTACCTCAACAACCTGAAAAGAGTTCCATCAGAACTTTCCGCAGGATTTTTCATTCAACTTGAAAACCAGTAAAATGATTAAGCTATGAGATGAAACAGGTGCTGATAACGAAACTTCCAAAAATAACTAGAAATGGCACAAAATGTCATTCACAGAGAGGAGTGCATTGCAACATCGGATATGTAGTACAGGTGCTTGTCTTTGAATTGTCCGATGAAAATCTGCTCTATAACATTAATACAACTTATTTGCTTACATTATATTGTAAAATCAGACAAAAAAAAGATAGTTAGGCCATCTATAAGGAGAAGGAGGTATTCTCACCATTTCATCCAAAAGGTGATCACAACACCCATCCATCCTACCAAACAAAAAATTGGCTCACCATATCCACCTCTTTTCCTTCCAACCAAACATAAACTTGGCTCATCCTATCCGTCGAACCAAACAAAAAATTGGATGGCCATATCCCTGAAAATATGGATGGCCATATTCTATCCATCCTTGACCACCATCCAAACACACCCTAATACAGTTCACAGCTCCGATAAAAACCGGTGGAATTCCACGAAATTTCGATGTTTCGACATGGCTCGGAATTAAGTTTCGATTAGAATTTCGAAGGTTAAACAGTAGATTTGGTCGAAATTTATCAAAAAAACGATCGAAATTTATCGAAAACCGTGATATCGATGAAGCTCGAAATTTAGTGGTCAACCGATAATGTAAACCCTAACTCTCATTATTACCGTGTCAGTTTACCGGCAAGTGGAAGGTGCAAATGGATGGTCTAAATACACCTATGAGGCTATGAAATACTTTCTTCCTCGCAATTAACAGTTAATTTAGTATAAGATATAATATATTTTAGGACTACTGTAATCTAAATTTGACATTAAAATTCGTAATACTAAAATATGTCACGTCTCATACTATATTACTTTCTCCGTTTCAAAATATAAGGCTCAATTACCCTCAACCTAAATACCAAGAAATAGTTATTATCACCTCATATACATGCACCCAATAGAATTAAAGAGATTGAGAATGAAGGCCTAAAAAAATAATTTAGAGAAAAATAAGTGTTAGTTAATGGCATGAATTCATGCATGCATTATATCATGAAACTGTGTCTTATCTTATGGAATGGAGAAAATAACTTTTTTGGGGCCGAATGATGTAATAGTGAGAATGTGAATATTAAGCATGCGCCGCTACTCATTCGTTTCAAAACAGAATTTCCCTAAAATATACCCTAAAAGTAATACTCCCTCCGGGCTCATAATACTTTGTTTTAAACAAGGGTGAGATCAAACTTTAGAATCTTTGATTATGAATTATTTTTAAAATATTTGTCTTTTAAATATGGTGACTACATGTATAAATTAGTCTTAAAAAGTACTTTAATAAAATCATATATTTATTAATATTTTTATACATATTATAATGAAAAATAATGGTCAAAGTTGTTTTTTGGAGACCGTGCCCTTGTCCAAAACGATAAATATTATTAACCCGGAAGGAGTAGTCCTTCTGACCAAAATATAGCAATCTAATACTATATCACTATATTAGACATGTTACTACTATGAATTTGGACATATATGTGTATTAGCTCTTTATACTTCCTTGTCTCATTGGATTTCGTGAAATCCATTAAAAACTAACAAAACTCGATGAAATCTAGATAAATTTTGTAAAAATTTTAAAATTAAGTTTGAATCCGGAAAACTGAAATCCAAATATCCAGAATATGCGAAATCCGAACCAGATTCCACTTAATTGTGAACCCTAGCACTAGGCTTCGGTAGCATGGAGGGTGACACATGTGCGATGGTAGGGTGGATTCTCGTTAACGTGGTTGCCCCAATAAGAGACTATGTGAGAGATTTTCCCTATTTCATGGCATGGAGGCCACATGACGGCATGTGTGACTTGCGGTGTGTTTGCTTGGAAGGATATGTCGAATAGGAGATGATGATTCAGTTTTAGTCTGTTTGGTTGGTAGACAAAGGTTAGAGTGGTCTGGAAAGGAATATTTCACAAAGATCCTAGATGAGTATATCCACATTTGCTAATCTCAATCATTAGTAATTGATTATCCATCATTAATGTATTTTATTGTTAATTAGTACAATCAACTTATCAAAATTAGTGTTGATTAGATATAAGTAATCTATATTGTTTTTAATTAGTATAGATTATAGCTATATTAATGATAAATAACATATTTTATCATTACTCAATATATTATCTTTTCATTTTATTTCTTTTCATTCATGCAACCAAACAAATAATTAGATGATCATATGCATCCAACCAAAAAAAACACAGGCCACCATTTTTCCACAAATATAAATGATCATATTCTATTCAATTTTGACCACAAACCAAACACATCCGGTGAAGCCGACCGCGCTGGCACACCCACTTGTTCAGCGGTGTCATGTTGGGGCTGCTAGGGGCATACTTCGGTTGGGTTGGGCTTATAGAGAATCAAAGACAAGGTTTCTAGAAGATGGGCCAAAATGGATTGGTGGGTGCATTTCGTCAAACATCTTCTGTGCTATGAACAGTAACCTTCAAATTTTTCCAGCAATTGAAGGATTTAAGGCCCCGTTTGGCACAGCTCTAGCTCCCAACTCTAACTTACCTAGAGCTGGAGCTGCGCCAAACGGTGTAGATTCGCTATTTTTTGGAGCGGAATTAGCAGAGTTGCTCTACAAGTTTGTACTATGAGGGTAGAGCTAGGTTTTTGCTGCTCCACAGCTCCACTCCACCCCAAAAGGCCCACTACCCTTTAAATTTTTCATATATTTACACGATATGCCACTAAACTGTCCCTTTCACACCCCCTCTCCTCCCGTTCTCTCTCCTTCCCATCTTCCTCCTTTACAGCAGCAATCGCTGGTGGCAGCGGCGACGGGCGGTGGTGACGGGCGTCGGTTGCGGCGGGTGGGTTGCGCGGCGCGGCGCACAAGGGGTACGGGCGGCGGCGGCGGCAGGTGGTGCGCGGGAGGCGCGGGGTTGGTGGTGTGCGGGAGGCACGGGGTCGGCGGTGCGCGGGCGCAGGCGCAGAGTCGGCAACGGCGACAACCAAGGACGATGCGCGTGTGGCAGTGGCGGCGGCGATGGTAGGGCAATGCCAACCAGGTGTTCGATGAGATGCCAACTAGGTACGTGGTGGCGTGGAGCTAACCAATCTAGCCAAACACTTTCATACCCACTTCAGTTTCTATAGGAGCTAGCTCTCACTGAAGTTGAAGTTTAGAGTTGAGAGTTGGAGTTTGGAGCCATACCAAATGGGGCCTAAATAGAGAGAATAGTGGGCGTTAAAATGACAAGTGTTCAAGAATAGAGATATCTACTATTGTAGGAATCTCAAGGAAATTTTCTCTGGTTTGAAATTTGAAATAGATTTAAATTTAAATGGATATAACCTAGAGGAAGAATTATATTGAAGAAGAAAATGAGTTCACTTTGGTGTCTGAGCAAATAATAAGTGTAGGATATAGCTTTGGATTGATTTGTACCAAAATTAGAATTAGTTAAAGAATAAAACTCAAAGAAATAAAATTGTAGTTAAGTCATTATATATGTTCCTAAGCTTTTCAAAATTCAACTAAAATTCCTTCATAATGCAGTCAAAAAAATTTTAGGGTTAATTTTGAGGATGTGACATTTCGTCATAATTTGTAGTGAAGAAAAAAAAAATCATTAATACGAATTTTGATTCAAGTCTAAAATTTCAATAATGTACTCGGAGCAGAAACTTATGAGATAAACACAAAACTACGCACTGGTACAAAAACATGCTGTACAAAAACCCAGCTTATTCAGCAAATAAATTGTGTACCAAAGGGAGCAACATCACACAATCAAAGCCAAGCTTGGGCAAAATGTACTGATTAGGCATCAGACATAACTCACTTTGTAAAGTTATAGGGATTCATTTCCCCCAGTTTTTTAAGCATTGTGCTACAAGAGGGAAAAGCAGTTTACAGCAAAACACAGTGCTGACAAAGATGGACCAAATTGACAAGGCGACCATATATAAAACAGGTTATGCCAAAATTGCATGCTCACATATATATATAATAAAACTGAGTAGGACAATAACACCTGATACTACTAACTAGTTTTGCATGATCATAAATAAATTACATCCAGAATGCTATAGGATCCTCGAGTCTCTTAAATTTGCCAGCAATCTGGTATGAGATCGATGCGTAAGCACGGTACCGAGTGGTGACCAGTTCACCGGCCTTATCATACTTGAGACCAAAGGAGGTGATGGTGAGCACACGGAGGGTGGTGCGGACGTCACAGTCATCAGGCACCCGGCAATCCACCAGGCAGAACCTGCTGTCGCCCATGTACACGAGCGTAGCCCCCCAGTACCCGGTGAAGCCCTTCTTGAACATCACCTCCTTGCAAAACTTCCAGGCAGGCAAGGTGGTGGTACAAGCAGCATCGGCGGCGGGCGAAGGAGGGACGTCGCAGCAACAGAGATGCCCGGTTCCTTCACCGTAGCGGCAGATCCCGACCCAGGCGTCCAGCTCACGGTCGTAGTGAGCTTGGCCCTCGAACGGCAGCATCCAGTCGCCGACGCGGGTCCACTCGAGGCGCCCCGCGTCGAAGCTGAAGGTGGATTTACGCGTGCCAAACGTAACGCAATCCTCGATGGAAATGAAGATGGTGCGCCCATCCGGGTGCAAGGCGTAGCCGGTGACGAGGCCGGAGTGGAATTGCGGGAGTGGCTCCACGGTGGTCCAGGACCACGGTGGCGGCTCTGGCTCATCGTCGTCGTCGACGGCGGCGGAGCGTGGTGGATGGGGCCCCAGCACCTCGAGATATTGGTGGACGAATGTGACGAGCCTGTCGCCGACGGAGGCATACACGGGTGGACAGATGATGGATCTGCTCTTAGGGGGAGGGTACACCGCCATCTCGAGGGTCCGGGTGTCGAACACAGGGATGCCAGGGCTGAAGCTGGCGGGATGCATGGCAATGATCTTGGTGCCGTGGGCAGCGAAGAACCTTGAGTAGGCGTGCTGCGCCTGGATGCGGATGAGCGGGTTGTGCTTGGCGGCGGCGGCGGCAGGGCGGGCGCCGAAGTCGTCGTCGACAACCTTGTGGATGCTGTATCCTGCCTCCCAGTCGTCCAGCACCAGGTACAGGTGCCGCTGCTTGTGGTTGTGGTTGTGAGAGCTGAAGGGAACCAAACCCAGCTTCAGGCTCTTCTTCTTCGTACTGCTGTTGCTGCTGCAATGGCGTTCGTCTTCCTCCTCTGACTCTCTGCACGCCCTCTTCTTCGTGTTCGTGCTGCTGCTGCAATGGCGTTCGTCTTCGTCATCTGACTCTCTGCATAGCCTCTTGGACGACATTATTATTTCTGATGACATTTGCTTCCTCTCGATCTGGATCTGCCCCTCCCTCCCTTCACTCTTTTTGTATCTGCACAGCGACAACCTCAAGGTTTAACATGAGCTGGGGAAAGCCTACATCCAATTTGCTGGATATATAAAGCCTAAACTAAAAAAACTCCGTCTAAGAATCGGAATCGAATCGGAATACGCACCGCTAATCCGTTTACGAACCGGAGACTGATTTGATTCCGAATACCTTAAACAAAAAAGAAACTTTTGTCCCCCACAGGCAATGCTCTACTAGAAGAGAGAAACAAGGGTTAACGCGAGCAAATGTGCGTGTGAGAGAGAAATAGAGATGAGAAAGAGGATTGGACGCTCACCAGAAATGGATGCGATACGGCGGGAATAGGTGGACGAACACCAGCGGCCTCCGGCGCGGCGAAGGCGGGATGGATGGGATGGGATGGGGATCGGCGGCGCTTGGGGCCGCAGTCGAAGGTCTCGAGGAGACGGGGAAATGTATCCTTAGGTTGAGGACTGAGGAGACATCAAGACGATTCCTCTTCCTGCATATGGGCCGGGCCGTCCTGTTACGAATACCCTTTTGGCCCATTTACTAGCACAAGATTTTGGAAAAGGTACACCGAAGGCACCTCAACTTGTCATCTGAGTTACAAAATCATCATCCAACCACAAAACCAGATATAGAGCCATCCCTCAACTTACAAAAACCATTCACTTTATGTTCTTTGATGGTTTCGAACCCGGTTTCGTCCTATGTGATGGCTGAGTCAGCGTGGGACCCACGTAGGTCCGCGTGGCCACGTCAGCACCCTCTCTCTTCCTCCTCTCTCTCTCACTCTTCTCGGCAAGTCGGGCGGCAGCTGGGGCGGAGGCCATCGAGGCGAGGCAGGAGAGGAGGAGGCGACGGCGGCGGCCTGTCGCGAATGGCGAGACGGAAGCGCTCCACGCCGCGGTGCTTAAGGAGGAGGAGCAGCAGCACGAGATGGAGGAGGCAGCGGTCGTGACAAGCAGCAGCGCCACAAGCGGGGAGGAGGGCGGGCACCTGCCGCAGGGGTGGGTGAAGCGGAAGAGGTCGCGCCGCCAGCGATCGGAGGAGAACCTCGCGCTCTGCCTCCTCATGCTCGCCCGCGGGGGCCACCACCGTGTCCAGGCGCCGCCTCCTCTCTCGACGACGGGGCCAGCACCGGTAGGTGCGGAGTTCAAGTGCTCCGTATACGGCAAGTCCTTTAGCTTCTACCAAGCGCTCGGCGGCCACAAGACGAGCCATTGGGTCAAGTTGCCGACTCCGCTCGCACCTCCGGCAACGGCCACTCCACCGCTCGGGTGTTCGACCTTATTGACGATCGTTCGCAATCAGTTTCGACCGTTAATATTACCAAAATAGAGGAAAACTAGTTATACTTGCAATGCATATTTAAGTTAGAATAATAACTTTTCACTAGTATTAGGATTACTAATCTTTTGCAGAGAATAACCATAAAGTGGAGAAGAATCGACATCAAATCAAATGATCAAATAAATGTGGTTGGGGGACGATTTTGTAACTCGATGACAAGTTGAGGGACCTTCAATGTACTTTTTCCCAAGATTTTCGGTCACTTCACCCACCGCTGAATATGAGCTACAGTCTACAGATATGATGCTAGGCATGCCCTATAACAAAGTAAATAAAAAACCATGTAATCCTAACCTAGTATCTTACTATAAAGTTATCCCCCACTAACTCCTTAAATTTAACATGCAAAGATGCCACATCATCATCCACTAATTATCACATTTAAACATCATGCAAACATGTTATATTACCTATAATTTTATAGTTTTTATAATTTAAGAGCTTTTAAAATACAAGCATGTTAAATTATCATTCCGCATAATTTATATAATGTTTCAATGTATATCTTTATGTTTTATGATATCCTACATACTTATATAGTTCATCCTCACTTAGTGCTTAAATGATTAATCTATGGTCCAAATTATCTTTCTCCTTTTTTTCCTCTAACAAACTCCTTAACCTAAACATGCAAAGATGACACATCATCATCCACTAACAAGATGTCACATCTTCATATACTAATTAACAAGATGCCACATCATCATCCACTAATAATCATCACATTTAAACATCATGCAAACATGCTATATCTTTATAGTTTTATAAATTAGGAGCTTTTCATATACAAACATGTTAAATTATTATCCAACATAATTCACATAATGTTTCAATGTATATCTTTGTTATATTTTATGATATCCTATATATTTATATAGTTCATCCTCACTTAGGTAGTGCTTAAATGATTAATCTATGGTCTAAATTATCTTTCTTCTTTTTCCCTTTAATTAAGTCATATCACATCAATTGTTTTTAGCCCTTAGAAGATTAATCTACAGTTCAAATTATCTCCCTACTTTTTTTCTTCCATAAAATCATATCATCTTACTTTTTACATTTGAATCATCATTCTACGTACTATTTAAATTTAAATTATCATAAACCATATCAATTTACTTAATATAATGTTATCTACCTATCTTACATGTTATTTTTTTATTGTTTAAATTCCTGTAGCAATGCGCGTGGTTTTATCTAGTAACTGTAATGTTTGAAAACAATTTAGCTCACCCAAGAAAAGCATTACCTCAGGTTGCACGTAAAGGAACCATTTTGGAGTCAGCAATCTTCCGTGTGGATCTGGCTGAATATGAGCTGACACCAAGTACCCTTGACTATGACGGAAAAAACTTTACCCAAGTATATGCTTATTATCATGGAGGGATAAAAGGATTCAATGGGTCAGAGCAGAAACCTGACTCTGGTTCCATAGTGGCAAGCATTCCATGACTGGCTGAGAAGCAACCTGCGAAGTTGCACAGAACACTTAAAATACTGGAATCTATATTTTTAGGCATTCATATTTAATTAAATTGTAGCAAAGAACAGATCCAATTTTCTAACTTTATGTGAGTAACAAACCAGAAGATAGACAGATGGATAAAATGATGCCCGGCATGAAAGTTTTTTTTTTCGCCGGAAGGACCGAAGGAGGCTAACCGAGTATATTAAGGAGTAAAAGTTATAAGAAAAAACATTAAAATGTACCAAGGTGCATTGCCACACACCACGCACTAACACCCAAGCACAAACTGCTGAGGGTGAAACCTAGCACTAAACGACCCCCGCTAAGTATGGCCGAACACCGCTAGGCTTATGGTAACACCACATAGATGACGCTCCGAAAACGATGCCACCACGGTGTCACGACATACAGGATGCCGCCATCACCCATCTAAAAAGATGTGGTTTTTGTACCACATAGATGACGCTCCGAAAACGATGCCACCACGGTGGTCACGACATACAGGATGCCGCCATCACCCATCTAAAAAGATGTGGTTTTTGTTATAAAAGTTAGTCGATATAGCGGAACGACGACTAACCTTCCCGATCGCTTCAGTCATTGATCACCCAAGACATGCCAGATGATGACACAAGAACACACGATATTTGTTAACGAGGTTCACCCAAAGCCTACATCCCCGGGGCTCTGATTATGGGCGCTCCTCCCCAACCAATATAGCTCCTAGCCGCTACGAGTTCATGGCCACGCCGTCATCATCTCCCTGCGTGTCTACGCTACATTGCAGTCGCCATGGTTACATTGTGGTGCCTCCCTCTCTATTTAAGAGAGATGATGGGTTACAGAGTCTGACTCTAACTCCATCCCCTAACACCTATTACAACTCTAAGTCCAACTGTAACCAAATAGGAAGTATATTCGACACCTATTCTAACAGTTTTCACCTAAAGAAGCTCGTCGAGAAAGGAAGATGGTAACCCTTGACAACGCCCAAGGAGGTTACGACGCCCGAAGACGTAGCCGCTGCTGGCCCGGTGAACCACCGAACTAGGCTTTCGCCTGGTACCCTATAACCTTGACTGCAGATCGCCATCCACCAACTCAGAACTACCACACAGACAAATGGCAGTACATAGCATCCACCACACCGCACCAACGCCCCTCCGTCGGCCGACTTCAGCTAACCACCACCCCTGAGAGTTGGCCCAGGACCCCTCTATTCCACCACCCACCGGCCGCCTCGTCAGTTTTGGCTTTAGGAGAACCCGGGACTAGGTGACATTGCTTCGGCAGCATGAGCTTCCCCCGTTGACGAGCGGCCACCTCAATCCAACCTAGAAACTCCCTGCAAAGAAGAGGAGGAGCTCCGGGAAGGGCGAGGGTGCCGACCGGCAATGAGGAAGACGACCCACCACTGCCAGCTCCCTTTGCACTGCCATCTGGCCGCTAGTGGCGCAGCCGCTCCGGATCGGCGCCACCCGCCGGTGCCCCTGTTCTTCGGCCGCCGCATCTCACCTGGCCATCGCGGCGGCATCCCGACTGTCCGGTCACCACGCCGAGCCGCCACCGAGGCCTGGACGCCGAGGAGACCCACCGCGCCCAAGGGGCGGTCGCTGCGTCTTGGGCTGCCGCTGGGCGGCCAGGGCAAGCGAGTGAGCCGCCCTGGGCAGGCTGCGCTGTCCGCCGCCTCCGCGTGGCCTGCCGTGGCCGTCCGCCGCGCAGCTGCCGAGCCAGGCCGGCCGAGCCGCAGCAGCCCGCCGCCACGCTGCCCCAAGCCTCCTCCCGCTGCCGCCGCACAGATCTAGGCGAGGGAAGGCCGGATCCGCCGCCTCACCCCACCTTGCTGTCGTGGCCTCCTCGGACCGCGCCGGCGGGGAGCTTCGTCGTCTTCGTCCCGTCCACTTCGCGCCACGAAGAGAAGTCCTCGCTGCCACCTTCCCTGCTAGCTACCGGCTTCGCGCCGACAAGCTCCAGCAGTGGCGAGGTAGGGGATTGAGAGGAGGCGCGGGCGGCTAGGGTTTTTCGCCCCCCGAGCCGCCCGCGCGAGAGCGACGCAGGGGGAGTCCCTTTTTTTTTTTGTTTCTATGCACAGGTAAAGTTAAGTTTTCATGGTGCTTAAAATAGCACTCCCATCAAAATCTTGAAAAGTGTCCTAAATATTTTTTTTCCTTGCACTTTGACTTTTTTTTCTTAGTAAAGCTTCTTTAGGTTTGAACAAATTTATATAAAAATTTAGCAACATCGATAACACCAATTTAGTTTTATTGAATATAATATTGATTACATTTTAATAACATGCTTGTTTTGTGTTAAAGACGTTGCTATATTTTTCTATAAACTTAATCAAACTTAAAAGGTTTGATTAGTAAAAAAGTCAAAATGACTTATAATATAAAACGGAGGTAGTAACTTCTTTTGGATCCCTGCTGACCAAATGGGCAAAAGGCCATCTTTGGCACAAAGAAATCATGTATACAATACAAGCCTGTTACCTGCCAGTAGAATCCATAACATCATCTCTAGGACATGTTCCAGAATTTGTGGTAAATGTGAACGAGAAACTATATATCTGAAGAGATCTTAATATGTTAGGGAGTGATTTCACCTGTTAATTTCCTGGGGAAATTGCAAGGTAGTTTTGTGTATGGGCCAATCTCAAGAGCATAGATAGATTCAACACGATACAGAGAACTTCGTGAAAGAACAGAGAAGAAATCAATACTAAATACACAGGCAAGTACAGATGTCCTCTTTACCTGCATGGTCAGGTAATATTTGTCGGAAAAAAATGGCTATAGAAGAACAACATTTAGAAGTAGCTTGTGCAAGAAATGTCAACAAAACCAACTGCATTTCTGTGTGATAAATCGTGGCTAGGAGATTGTTAAGGAGAAGATGCAAAATTGATAAAAGTTTTCAACTAGAAATACAAAGGAAATCTCAAATAGCAATATCTTGATGATGTACCAGCACGATAAATGTGGGGGATTCCATTTACCAGGTCAAGTATATTTAATATTTCAAGGTTGAGAGAAGATCAATTGTTAACATATTCTATGCACCGGTATCTTCCTCGTCCAGGACCTGTTGCAAACCATCGATTCAATATCTTGGTTGGTACTAATGGTACCTTCCTCAAGACTTCATCAGCTACAGCCTCAAGGGAGTAATTATTAAGCTTAATTTCTGCACGCATGAGACGCCATAAGTTCAGAATGATTCTTCCATCAACATGTATACCACTAGCATGAGTATGACTCCAATTGCTCTCACTAGCATCATCAATAACATCATCAGCTGAAGATGCTCCAGGAAACTCCTGACAAGATTCCTCCACTGGGTTCATAGGTGGATGTTTCATCTGATTTGGTGGTGTCCTTGAAATTCTTTTCAGTAAGCCTATACCAGCTCCTTCAGCAAAAAATCCTAAAGATCCCAACTGAATCTCCCATCCAACTATAATATCTGGATCGATTGAACATATTTCATTAATAAGATGGTTTAAAAGTTTCTGTCTCTCAAGGAAATACGTTTATGTCGCAACCGGCAACTCTATCCAGGTTTCTGCAGTTACAAGAAAAAGGACAATAAAGACATCTCAATACAACAGGTTGAACTCTTACAGCCCTTAAAAAAGAATCAAACAAGTTCCTTAGCTGAAAACAAACAATTATGGCTACATGAGAGTGTAACTCTAAAACAGTAAAACTGTGGTTTATGATCCAACAAATTCTAAATAAAAGAACCCGAAGTTATATGGTGTTCTTCAAGTCCAGAAGCATAGGATATGTTCAGCACATATGAAAGGCCCATCACATGGAAGCAACAAATGTGTTTTTGATGGTACCATATCAAATCCTTAACAGACCCATAAATAAAAGTAATGATCCAAAGTACTCTCGTCAAATGACATCAGTTGCTACTGCACTGTAGCAGTCACCACCATAGTCACTCGATGTCCATGCAGACTTCTCTTGTTGAACTAGGATTATGACTCACATACTAATGTACTAAATTTCACATTTAACACAAGCACACAACTCTTCTGATTAGGACAGTTCAATTCCTTGAGATTCTGTAGACTCATTAAGATATATGTTGCTTGAGAAAAACAAAATTAAACAGAATGGAATTTTGATTAAAAAGGAAAAGATGACTGGTTAGTGCCAAAACAAGAAGAAACGGAAAAGTAAAACAACAAACAATTCCAAGATTTGAGTGATTTCACACAACCTCCTCCTGTGTGAACTGTCATTGTTTCCACGTATAAAGCACATGATTTCAGTAGTGTTGTCAGCATCATCCTCAACAGCCAGCGATACAGCGTTGATGACACGAAATCGTGGATCAGGATGCAGCTCTCCTCTGCTTTCTGTTAATACATGTATTAATGAAATAAATGTCATGTGATAAACTGGTAATTCAACTTTGCATTTTCTTTTCACTGGATAGAGCAAGTCAAACTGACATGATTAATAATAACAAAAAAGAACTGCTGGTTGCAGACATAGATTTTTCCACGAACAGTAAATTAGCACCTACATTGTATGAAGAATTAACAAAAAGAAACATATGTACGTCAGGAACAAAAGAAAAAAGAATGTGGTACAACCACTATGCTACTTATAGTCAATTGTAATCCACTACCAGTGCTAGTAGGACCACGGAATCCAATTTGACTGAGAGGTGTTAGTTTATCCTTCTCATCTCTTCCTAAGATCTGGGAAAACTCATGCCAATCAGCTACTCCTTCCGTTTCAGATTATTAGTCGTTTTGACTTTGATCAAAGTCAAACTAATTCAAGTTTGATTAAGTTTGTAGACAAATATAGTAATATTTACAGCACAAAATTAGTTTCATTTAATCGATAATTGAATACATTTTCATAATATATTTATCTTGGATTGAAAATGTTACTACCTTTTTTCTAAAACTTGGTCAAACTTAAAGTAGATTGACTTTGACCAAAGTCAAAACGACTTATAATTTGAAACGGAGGGAGTAGATTTTTCATTACTTGGTTGGAAAGATCTGGTTCCATCATAACTGTACCATTAGGAAAGGTTGTAGGGCTATGCTCCAAAGCCAATTTGGATGCAAGAGAATCGTCCATCAAAGTAGGACCTCCCATATCTCTACTACACTAAAAGGGAGTCATCGTCCTCCTCCTCTCCACCCAACCAATTCTGTGCTCCACCCCCTCTAGAAAAAACCAAACAGTTTCTCCAGAAAACCGCCAATTAGGAAAAAACAAAAAAAAGGGGGAAAAACACCCAAATGCTGCGTAGTAATAACACAGCAAAGCAGTTTCATTTTTTATCCCATGGCATAGCATGGCATGGGTAATTTGCTAGTATGGTGAAAGAGTAGAATTGTTTGCTCGTTCCTGATCAACAGACACTCTCTCACTACAGTTGAAATGGCCTAAGATAACAGTGTGTGACAACATCGATACATGGTCATTAAATTGACTGTGCAGGAAATAATCTATACCGGAGACACTAATGGAACAAGATTGTTAGGTTAGCCACTGGCCCACGGGGTGGCAAAAATGCATGTGTTAGCAAATATAGGGCTGACCAATCATTTTGGAAATGAGTTGGAACACCCCATGTATCCAATGAAAACTCGCTACTTTCCATGTGTTGAAATGATTCATTCTGCTTATTCGCTTCAGCATTCTGATTGAAAAACAGAGGGATATCGATAAATCCCAGTTTAGAAGTTGAAAAATAGCAGAAGAGCGAATGTGGATTAACAGAGAAAATATAATGTGTTTTAAATGATATGAAGTGAATGATGATACCGGAAAATTCAAGAAAGATTAAGTTTTAACAGAATAGCACTGTACTTATAGTAAGTTATAGTGGTATACTATTTCATTTGGTTGATAGTCCAAACTGTTCTAGAGGGAAAACAATAATAAATAATGATAAGCTGTGTAAATGGCAAATGATAACAAACAAATAAATAATGCTTTCTCCGTTTCACAATGTAAGACTTTTTAGCATTGCCCATATATATATATATATAGATGTTAATGAATCTAACCACATACATATGTCTAGATTCATTAGCATCTAAATGAATGTGTTTAGATTCATTAACATCTATATATATGTGGGCAATGCTAGAAAGTCTTACATTGTGAAACGGAGGGAGTACTATTTTTGCATACATGCTAAGCTATGTAAATGGCAAAGGACCTAAAAGCCTAATGCTAGAAAAACTGAAAGAAAACAATGAACATCTGTTACATAATCATACGTAGGCACTAATACAATTATTTATATATTAGATCGTTAACAACAACATCAAAACTACTACAAAATTTACATGAGCAACAACTACAGTATACATCAAATGAATTGCATTCACCATGATAAAATAAAGATCACTTGTGGAACTTACATTGACCATGATAAATAAATACCACTTTAACTTAAACTGAGGCAGCTCACTACCTGCTGAAGAGCCCTCCAAACAACATAATACTTCATTCTTCATTGGAGGCTTCTGTGCAAAGGTCATCTGCTAATATTCACTGCCAGAAAAACACATTTATGAATTCGAAAGGCCACTGGATGAATCAGGCCATTCTAGTCCCTCGGAATTCACAATTTCATTCTCTTTACAAATGATGTATATTGCATCTCCAGACTTGCCAACTTCTGATTGTTCAGACTGAAAAGATATCCTCCTCCTCATCATCAAGTCTCTCAGACCCTCACAGAATCACACAATGGGTCATGTTCACCTGATCGACTAAAAGATTCCCTGCCAGTCTTATCTGTGGTAGCATGGGAGTTCTTTCCAGTTCTACTCATGAAAGAAACACTTGGTTCCTTCTCAGTTGGCATCGCACCGTCTGGAGAGGTTTTAACATGACCATCAACATTTACATCTGACCTCTTTTTAATGGGAGGTGGCAAAGAGCACCAGAGAAGTTCAACTACTTTGAGGAGATGAGTAACTAGGCAATCCTGCACTTTTCCTGTTGATTTTATACTTACCATCTTCTTGTGGAACTTCCTGGTTTTCATCAGATGACCCATCAAGCTGAGGAATATTATTGCTCAGCGAACTACTCTCATCGAGCCTTACAGAACTGCGGTAAGATATTTGATCATTTGGTTGTTCTTCTCCATTCACAGGTTCAATTCAATCATTAATATCCTGGCACTCCAGCCGCTCAAATATCAATATACTATATATCATAAAAGCTAGACTGTGGTATTTATTATGTTAAGACTGCATAAGAGACAAAATGAAATACTGTTCTTGCAGTTCACAACAACTATGAAAAGAAACTAAGTGTTGCTCTTACCAAAAAGTGAAGAAGATAGGGAATGTGAGACTCATAAGGTTGGAATACTCTATTAAGAACAGCACCATCCTGAAACCAAGCATCTCAAAATCAGGAACCACAGGAAATAGTTTAAAATACTCCCATTCGAGAAGAGTAAAGTGTATTTACAAGGAAGATCACAAGATAAACTGAACAATTTCAAATTACTATAACATATGATAGTCTGTACAGAGAACAGACTCGATCCTAGATGGCATAACTGTCTAGAGGCCAAGTTTCATGTTGCTAGGAGAATGAATCCACAGCTTCACATCATGAAAATAAAGCAACATACACATGCAACACTGAGACACAATGCACATTTTTCAAGTGAAATGGCATGCAACAGAAGGCGTTTGAAATCAAATCTTTCACGTAAAAATACTAGTTTCCTACAGCAGACAAGTGTAGTCATTATTAATGTAAAGCTGAAAGGAAACATACGCAATGAACAAAAGCAAATAATAATATTGAAATATCTATTACAACTCTCTCTTTCAATAAATACTCCTTCCAGTGTCAGAACTAGCCATAAAATTCTGCAAAGTTTGACCATTAATATGTCAACAACTAGATAGATTGGCTATATAGATATTATATCAATAGATTCCTTGCTGAACATACTGCTGTAATATTATAGTTTTATTGATATACCTTGATGTTAAACTATAGCAGAGAAGGTCCAAATTGTAACTCCGAGACAGTGAAATATAAACAATACTAGTAACAATTAAGAAGAAATAGAGGGGATAATAAAACAAAGTACCATTGCCAAAAAATAGTGAAAGAAAAAAAAATCTAGAAGTATAACAGCTATATTCCTCCTGTCAGACATGTTTAGCTACTGGAAATTTGGAAAATACCAAGGTCATAAATTAAGCAGAAGGGGTCAACAGACCAATAGCTGGGCTGCAGCAGAATGTGCACTTGTGCAGTAGATGATTTCTCATGAAATTGTGGTTTAAACAAGCAACATGGTATTCAATAGTTGGATTCAATATCAACAAATATTAAGGATATCACGGAACACCAATAAAATTCCCACTGACTTATTTAATGCTTGTCAAGAATATATGCATAGGCAATTATGTATAGCCAATTAGCTACAAAACAAATCAGTAGATTTTTCTCATGATAACTCCAACACAGAACAAATGAAGGAAGTTTTGCATTTTTACCATTTTACATAGACTACCTTGAAGTCCAGAATTGGAATAATATATCATGGTTGCAAACTCTAGGTGGAAGCAACAATCATAAGACATCAGAACTTAGATACTCACACCAAGCATTGAGCCAGTAATAAATGGTCAGTATATTTACTGATAAACTATTAGGACACTGAAACAGAAACATATAGTGAGTACAACAGTTTCAATATTGACAAGGAGAAGCTAGACAATAAATATAAAATAGGAGTTAATGCTAAGAAATCAAGAATTAGTTCTGAAGGAAAAAAATACAGAAATAAATCAAAATTAATTAATTAAAGGAGAACCTAATATAATCTTTCAGGATGAACACTGATAGGCAGAAATTGCACAGCAAAGGAAACAGCGAGGATGCAGTTACTGTGTTCCACAACTCAGTATATCTTTTGTGAAGATTTCAGTAAATACTTTGTTTGGTTTTGATTTATAATTAATCATATGGAATATGTTCATGGAAACACTAGGTGTGAAGGAAAGAACAGGTAATCTAGAACTGGTTCAAACATCCATAGCAGCCAAAATACTTTTTAGAAAACAATAAAGTTATGGATACATAACTGGACATCACAAATACCTGCAAAGCTTTCTCAAGGTCACTTGATAGACCCCAATTATATATGAATTACCTAGAGAAAGGGCAGGAAAGAGACATATCAATTTCTCCTTGTCATCAAGCGATGTTCTTGACATTACAAGCAACAGTTAATCAGGGAGCATCAGTATTCAGTTCTACCATTTGCAGAGAATAACACATTTAGGCTATTTGGTTAAGAAAAAGTAACGGCCACTTATTTCTAGACACAGGTGCCCTTTTCACCAGTACAAAATCTAAGAGATGCTTACCGAGCCACATGCACATACAAAGGGTTCAGCCTACTGTTTAAGTTATCTAAATGTGTTGCAGATGCATACAAGGCAAGCTTTCGACAGATGAAGAAGTGACCTTTCAAATCACGAATTAATTAATTAAGTCAATAAAATTGCAACAGCGGTGTGCAACTGCCATATACAAGAGGAATTAGTGTCTAAAAAGTTTGTGAGATAGCAGTAAGGCTCAGTTAGAATATGAATAAATAACAATCAATTTCAAGTTTCAGGTGATGTAGATATGAAAATCATCAGCAAAAAGTTTTCAGGTAATGTAGATAGAAAATCAGCAGTACAATTCAAAATAGAACAATCCATGTAACAAATTGCAAAAGTAACAGTAATAGCATATACATGATACATCAGGGTTGCATAACTACAAATAATGAATTACCTTTTTCAATGTTATGAAGAAGGTCCTCTGTGCAAGGCACAGACAGAAATTGAAGGAGATACAAAAAACAGCAAACGTTTACAAACTAGTTGGCACAACTAATGATGAATGGAATAGTGTGAGCAACTTTCCATAGAGAAGCGATATAAAAAAAATTGAAGTATATCTGTATTCATTCAAAAACATGAATTCAAAATATAATAGAGCTAATCATCATATGCATGTCCAAACTCAACCAAAACAAAAAAAAAACAAAAATCAAGTGCACACAGAAGTAAATATTGCATATATTACAAGCAAACACCAAGTGTATAGAAAATAATGTTAAGCCCATGCAGGATAAGAGGGCTTCAAATTTAGTGAACTTCGAAAGTGAAGTTGGATCTCCAAACTTCGAATTTGGTGCGCGTACAGTATCAACAAAGAGCACATTGCCACATTCCCTCCATGGGCATCAATTGTTGGGCATAGATACCGTGTAATACATGAGGAGGATTAGTTGCTGCGCATGGCTACCTAACAGCAAACACAAATGTATTATACCCTCACAGCGTAACTCACACTCAAAACACTTGAAAGGACGCGACGCACTCGGTTGAAAGCTTGAAGCTGCAACCAAACATGACGACCAAAACTAGCTCATCCGTAATATCAACAGAGAGAAAAAAAAAAGCACTCATCAGAGAAGCTGCTACGCACCAGATGGATGTGGAGGCAAGTAAGGAGTGGAGCCTGATCACCTCCTTCACCTAAATCCACCACACATCAAACTCATCAACCGCTTGACGTGACGTGGGCGCGGTGCAGAGGCATAGCACAAGGGGGGCGAAACGGGGGCTCGAGAGAGGCGGGTGGAGAAAGGGGGCGGGGAGGGAAACGCACCGTGGAAGTGGCTGTAGGAGAAGTCGAATCCGGCCGGGGAGGGGCGGCGCCATGTGGTAGTCGAGGGATACGATTCGCACGCAGAGCACCGGGGAGTCGGTCCCCGGCGACGAGGGCTCCGCTCCGGCGAGGGGGCAGCCATGGTCGCCGCCGCACAAGGTCAGGCATGCCCGGGGGTTCGTGCGAGTTGCGGCTGTGTGCTGTTCGGCGGCGTGGGCTACGTGGGCCGCGGGCACCTTGCTCTGGAAGCTTCTGCTTGGTTTGACATGGTCGGCAGGGTGAGGTGGGTTGTGGGCTTGTGGCATCGGAACGGGTTGTTCACTTTTTGATGCCTAAATATCAACATTGCCAAATTTTGACAGTACCAAATTTATCAATATTTGGTAAAGTTAACAAGTGTAGGCTATGTTTAGTTTGTTTTTTTTTAAATTTTTTGTGAGAGGAAGATTCTAAAATTGCCAAACTTTGATAGTGGAGCAATTTTTGGCAATGTTTGGATTGTTACCTCCCCAAATTTTGAGAAAACCAAAACTTTGTACGGTTAATTTTAACTGTAAAGTGATAAGGCCCTAGGTTTAAGTCTATCTTACCCTATAGCTCACCAACTACAGTGATGGGTGAGGAGCTCGACGGGGAGAAGGTTGTCGTCGTTGCAAGCCCGACCTAGTCGGGGAAGGGGAAGCACCACCGCTGCCCTACGCAACCATCATCGAGCAAAGGGCGAAAGAGAGAGGGGGAGTGCCACTGCCGCTGTGGCCACCTGCCAAAGCAACTCCTCTAGCTCGACCACATGATGTTGGGCGGCGCCAGCCTACAAATGAAGAGCGAAAGAGAAAAAAAATAGAGATAGGTAGAGAGAGAATGGGCCCTAACAAGTGGGGCCCATGTGGATCCCACGCAAAACTCGGCCAGGTTGACCACATTCAACTCGCCACATTAGTTGAAACCAAGCACAATACTGCTATAGGATCTCAAGTACTCCAGTATTACAAGTTAAGAATCTATTGTATATGGTATTACGGTTTGTCAACACGATTCAAACTCGACGTCGAGATGAAAAAATTTCCAAGTAAACTCATTCGTAGTTCATCCAACCATGCGCACCAAGCCCATCCAAAAATGATGATGCTGTGCTCTCAATTTGAGGTTCCCAACCTTACTCCCTCGTTTACCGCGCGTACGCTTCGAAAACTACTAAACGGTATTTTTTTATAAAAAATTTCTATAGAAAAGTTGTCGTGAAAATCATATTAATCAAATTTTCAAGTTTTTTTAAGCCTAATACTCCCTTTGTTTCATATTATAAGTCGTTTGACTTTTTTCTCAACCAAACTTCTTTAAATTTAACCAAGTTTATAGAAAAATATACTAACATTTTCAATACAAAATAAGCATATTATCAAAATATATCAAATGTTAGATTTAATGAAACTAATTTGGTGATGTAGATGTTACTATTTTTTTCTTATAAAATTTAGTCAAACCTAAAGAAGTTTAACTAAAGAAAAAAAGTCAAACGAATAATATGAAATGAAGCTAGTACTTAATTAACTATACATTCACTGTCGTCCCTCAATTTTATACCTTGACATCCCTTATTCTCAATACCAGATATCTTTACCCCTAAACTATACAAAACCGTCCAGTCTAGGTCCTATAGCAGAATAGACACCTGGTTTTGCTGACGTGGCAATTTGACCCGGTCCACTCATGCTGACTAGACGCTTATGTGGGAAAAAAAATGTAGGACCCACCTGTCATCCTTATTCTCCACCTTATCTCTTCTCCTGCTCTCTCCCACTCTCTCTACCCTACTCTTGGTCTCTCCTCCCTCGCCGAGGTGACGGTGGCAGCGGCCGTTACAGCCCGGGCGGCGATGAGGTGGCGTGGGGGCGTCGGCTAAGGCTCACGGCAACGACGAGCTAATGATGGTCGATAGCTTGGGCCGGCGAGGAAACAATGCCGACTAGGGCCAGTGAGGAGGCAGCGTCGGCGGCTAGGCGGTGAGGAGGTGGCAGCGGAGCGGAGTAGGGGCGAAGCGCCCGACGGAGCGGAGCGAGGGCGGCGACAGATGAGCGTGGCGGAGATCTAAGGCGCACACGCGGGAGACGGCGTGCGAGATCACGCACGACCGCTTCGAGCTCGCGGTCGTGCTCGGCAAGGAAGAAGCCGACAAGGGTGCGCCACGCCCCGAGAACCACCTGTCGGCATCGCACGCTCGGCGTCATGAGGGACACCGCCGCGCCTAGAACAAACTCGTAGAGTACGGCGACACAGTAGTGGAGACGCTCGCAAGAGGGTCACGACGCGGCTCCACCCCTCCTGCGCCGCTGTAACATCCTGAAAATTCCCAACAATAAAAATCACTAAAATTTCGAACTTTTCAAAACTTTTTCATCATGCTGGTTGTTATGATTGCAATTGCTTGCCAAACCGTAAATGATCACAAAGAAAGTAAAGTAAGGATCTAAAAATTTAAGTAATAGGTAAATTTACGAGAATATAATATTGTTAATCCTACAAATAATTATGCACAAGATAGTTAAGTCAAATATTAATTTCTATTACAAATTACAAATCAGGTATTAAATATTCGAACCATGATTGATAGCTTGATGTCACAATTAGCTAAAGAAATAGTAAGATTAAATCTAATTCATTTGAATCGAATCTCACATGAAATATAAGAACACATGAAATGATGATCACCATTATAGTGATCGTGTTTATAAATAAGTAATTCACCGGAATATATAGATTGATACTTGCAACATGTCGCCGAGTTACTCATGACATGAAAATCACTCATATAAAATAATGGTCATATAAATAAATTAATCCTTATATATAAACAAGAATATGTGAGTGTTTAAAATTAGATTAATGTTGTACCGAGTCTTAATTTACTATTTATAGAATAAATAGATTAAACCTATCCGTGTAAAATATATTGCTATACAACTAAACTTGACCAATCTGCTAATGTATTAATCATGACAAGTCGTTATATTAAATTTAATAGTACCCCAAAGTCTTCAAAAATATATAAGTTCACCTTAGGGCCAATAACTCAAATTAATCTAAAAAGAATTCATTTGTGCGATAAATAAATAAATATGGATAATATTAATCTAGGGTGAATTCATTAGTTAAGATAACACAAATATTGAGTAAAATGCATATATGTAAAACTAGGAATTGTGGAATCAAATTTATATGGAAAATACACTAAAATCGGGATAAATAGGAAAAGTCACTGTTCATTGCACTCTAGGTGCTCGACGTGGTCCCTGGCTCTATTTTCCCCCTCAGCCGCGCGCGCCTGGCTGCCTCGCTCCCCGCGCCACGCCGCCCGCGTTGCGTCGCCGCTGCCGCGCCGTCGCCGTCGGCCGTCCCGTCGCCGCGAACCGGTCCCGTCGTCCCCGCGCCCCTGGCCCGCCGCGCGCCTGTCACGCCGCCGTCGCGTCGCCGCGCCCACGCCCCACGCCTCGCGCCGCGCACCGCCGCTGCCGCGTCGTCTCGTCACCGCGCCGCGCACCTCGCGTCACCGTTGCCGCGCCGCGCCAACGTCGCGCGCCGCCTCGCGCAGCGCGCCCACGCCTCGCGCCCCGTGCGCCGCTCGCCCGTCGCGTCGCCGCCTCGCACCCCGCGCCGCTGCCGCGCCGCGTCGCCGTCGCCGTCATACCGAGCCGCGCCGAGCCCCGCGCCGCGCCGCCCGTCGCGTCATGAGGCCGCTCGCCCCTATAAAAACCCCGGCCCCCTCCTCTTCCCCACCCCACACCCATTTTCCCCCATTCTCACCTCCTCTCCTCTACTCACTCCACTGCGCCTCCCGCCTCCACGCCGCCGCACCGCCGCTTTGAGCCACCGCGCCGCCTGCACCGCCGCCGCCGCGCCGTGCGCCGTCGTGGCGCCGCCCTCGCGCCGCCGCACCGCCGCCTTCGTGCCGCCGCGCCGTGCGCCGTCGTTGTGCCGCCGTCGCCGCCGCCGTCGTCGGTAAGCCGCCGCCTCCTCCCCTTGCTCGGTCGTCGTGCCGCCGTCGCCGCCGCCGTCGTCGGTAAGCCGCCGCCTCCTCCCCTTGCTCGGTCGTCGTCACCAGGGAGAAGAAGCCGAGAGAGAGAGAGAGAAAGGGAGAAGCCGAGGAAGAGAGAAAGAAGCCGGGAGGGAGAGAGAGAAGGAAAAAGAAAAGAAAAGGAGGAGAGAAAAAAAGGAGAGAAAAAGAAAGAGAGGGAAAGAGAGGAGAGAAAGAAAAGAAAAGGAAAAGAGAGAAAAGGGAGAAAAAGGAAAAGGAAGTAAATAGGAAATTAGAGGGAGATTAGGGAAGTTTAGAAAATTTAAAATAATTAGAATTTAATTATAGATTAATTATAGTCATAGAATTGCAAAATTTAATATAAATTATGGATTATTCTTGGTAATTTCTATAAGAAATCAATTCGCGGTAGTAATTTAGACGTAATTAATAACTAAACAAATAGATGAATTCTTATAGATTATTATAGATTATTTTTGGGTAAACCCTATAAGTAATCGATTCACGGTAGAAATTCAGATTTAATTACTAGGGATTTTAGCCGTGTATTATATTTAATCATTTAGTCATAGACTAAATTAAATCATATAATATTTCTAGGATTTCGTTCGATATTTAGCTCCGATTTGAGTGAAACTTGAACCCAAATTCATCTAAATTCATAAGCTTTCCAATGATATATAATTCACTATTTGATAAAATATATTTATAAACATTAAATAATTAATATCAAGATGATGCATAATAGTCAACTTAAAAAAAATATGTTAATAAATAAAATTAGTATTGTACAGTAGAGTAGATATAATAATATTTGTCTCTAACATGTCTTGCCACTGTAACAACCACACAAACTAATTTTATGTGATGTATCAAATGAATGGATGTATAGGAAAATTTCGATGGCCATATAATTAAATCCATGGCTTATAGGTTATTTAAATCAAGTGTAGCCTTATGATTATGCAACTAAAATATGAACACACATAGATGAATCTTTAACCTGTTTAGGAGAATAATAATAGAGCTAGATGTGGAGGAATCACTAAGTAAAATAATCGATGCAATACCATATAGAATAGCTTATATATGCCTAAATTGATTACCACTTATTAGTAACCCAATAGAACCAGTGCTTAAACTTGTCGCATCACATATACAATATCACTCATAGAAACTAGCTAATGTATAATTAAACTACAATATATTCAGGAATCACTTGGAGCATTGGGTAGTACACTTTCTAAATAAGCTCATGTATAGTAGGCGACCAAAACCT